ACAATAACGTGTCAAATTTTCCTCTTGACAGTTGGAGTGCATGAACTACCTCCCTCTGAAATTGAGTGGTGGGGTTTTTTAGGGGAGTTTTTATTGCCTTTTCTTAAACCTTGGTGACCTTTTAAACTAGATTTTTCATCCTCTCACTTTTCAAGCAGATCCTCACAAAGGAAACTTTGAATGCAGCGGCATATGTCTTGACTTCTAAAACACAAGAACTGCTCGGCTTGCCATTCTCGGTGACTGCTTATCCTCTGCTGCGCTGTCCCTGCAGGGCTTTGTGTCCACCTTCCTCAAGTGCCAGCAAAAAAGCAGCAGAGATGCTGCCCTGGACAATGTCCCCTTGCAAGGCTCCTGGTGGGAGATACCCTGCTGCAATGAGGTCCCTTCTGGGTGTGCAGGTACTTCTGTGTGTCCCCTTGCTCAGAAATACCCCATGGCCCAAGCAGGGGTGCTGTCTGTCCTCCAGCCCTGTGCTTGGCTGCAGGGGAAGGATGGCGATGCGTCCTCTGTTGCTTTGACTGTGGTGGGAAGGGATTGCTTCACGTTTCAGTGCAACATATTCAGGTGGTAATAATCTGTTAAACACATAATGTGTGGCATCACTTTGTGCCTCTGTGGAGGAGCTAAAGTCACATTTTAGGGAAGTATAAAGAGGGAATTTAAGTTCCTTGAAAATATTTGCAATTTTTATGTAGAAGCTGTGGTATATGAATATTGCATGAATATCAATAGCCAAATTCTTCTTTAAATGTGCCTTAAAATATCTTCTCCATTTATAGCAGAAGTTACTACCTTTTTTATATCAGTTCTTTGAACTGCTTGTCATTTTTGTTGGAGCCCTGTACTTTCTGGTGATCTCTCTATTTCTTTGAAAGACTTGCTTGGAAAATAACTAGTGGAGAATTGTAGTCAGCTTTTATTGAGAACAGGGGAAAGTTGTTCAAGGCTTAGCTAGTTCAGAATCATAGGCCTGGATTTGTTTTGGTCAGGGAATTGCTCTTCTCCTACAGCATGAGAAGTTTCACTAATGAAGGAGCACGAGTGGTGGTCATGGTGGGTGACAGCTGCCTTTTTGTTTCAAGTGACTTCAGCAGTAGAGAAGGAAGCCGAATGATTTGGTTCAGTAGAGGGAAAAATATACAGAAGTAAAGGTGAGAGCTTGACAGGAGGCTGTGGGAAAAGTGGGAATCTGTGATTTTGTTGTTTTTTTGGTTTGTGTTTTTTTGTTTGTTTTGAGGTTGTTTTTGGGTTTTTTTTAGCATGTTAGCAGTCCACCACCCAAATCTGAGCAGGTAATGTTTCTGTCTGACTTGCTGCCTTTTCCTCAGGGAGATAGGTTTGATCAGATGGCCTAAAAAACTTTCTATGGATGTGTTTCCTAGCTGCTGCAGCTGGCTAGAGCAGGGAATGGGGCTGGGATAAGGTCTCTTCCTAGAAGGCGGCTGCGGCCTCTGAAAAGTGCTTAAATGACAAAGTGGGTGGAGGGTGTCCAAAAACGGGTACCCTGACACCTGTAGTGGTGGGGTTCACCCACACTTGACAGGAGCTGAACAAAGACTTTTTATTTAGAAGTGATAATTTTAATGTGAATGCTGTTCAGCTCACTTTGAGAGCCATGAGAAGAGCCAGAAAGGTACTTGTGGAGATACAGTTTAGTCATCCTTTACACAAGTCTGCACATAACAGCATTGCCGAAAGTTATTAAAATGTCAGTGTAGAAAGTAAAAATGAAAAAAAAAAATACTCAGATAAACTGATTTTTCGTCTTCCTTCCTCCTCTACCAGCCCAGGCAGGACTTTAATATTCTTGAGGTTTGTGTATCTCCCTAGAATGACTTAAGTGATACTTATTGTACTCCGTCTCTGTCAAGATAGTTGGTATCAGACCTCATGCACTGATAAGGGAGCTACCCCAGGAAGCCTTGTTTACTTAATTTCTTATCAGTACTCTGATTAAGTCACTTCAAGTGATAACTGTTCTCCCCTGAATTTATTGTGTTTCAGGTTCTTGTAAGCTGCCTTCAGGTTTTCACTCCTTGGTCCTGATGCTTGGCTAGACTGTAGTAATATGGTTTTAATTCTTCTAACAAATCTGTTATAGAGACATAGGACTGGAATGTCCTAAAACAGCAATGATGTACTCATCAATGTGGGAAAGTATGACTAGTACCTTACATTTTTAAGGAAACCCTCAGTATGTCATTGCACAAATTAATGGGTTTTTTTGACATCCTAAAATCTGCATTTGGTTTTCCTTCCTTAATCTCAAAAAGAATATAGTAGGAGGAGAAAAACTAATGAGAAGGACAGCCTGTAAGATCAGAGAAATAGGAAAGAGTCTAAAGTGTTCTAGTATGAGTCAACCTGAAAAAGTGAAATAATTAAGAGAAGATGTTGGATATCTGTAACATTGTGAATGGTATGTGTAAGATGAATAAGAAATATTTATTTGGTCACCCTTAAAATACTATTGATTAGGATGCTCAGTGCAATTAATCGAGTACAAGAAAGGAAGCAGTACTTCATGCAGCACATCGTGGTACCATGGGATTCATTGGTGTGGGACCAGTGTGGAGGTCTTGAAAGGACTGGGCAGTTTAGTGAATGCTGCTCCTGTACCCTGGGAAATCATTGGTCTCTAGAAGCCAAGGGGGCTAGTAGAGGGGAGGCCTTCTCTATTTGCGTGCCGCCCAAGTCTTTGGTAAGACAGAGATTAATAAGTAAAATGGACTTTTGGTCCAAGTATGCCATTGCCTCCATTCTCTCAGGCTGCTGAGTTTGTTTACCTGGTGTGGGAAGCGGTCAGTCCTTTGAC